GGAATGGCCTGAGCTGTACGTTGGATCCTTTTAGTCATGGCTGGAGCTGAAGCAGCTGGGAAGCACGGCACCATGTCCTAAGGCTGCATAGAGTAGGGGAGCCCTGGGCCTGACCCAGGAAACCATTTTTCCCTCCTAGGCCTCCAGACCTGTGATGGGAGGGGACAGCCACAAAGGTCTCTGACATGGCCTGGAGACATTTCCCCCATTGTCTTGGTGATTAATATTTGGCTTGTCATTACTAATAAAAATATCTGCAATCAGCTTGAATTTCTCCCCATAAGATGAGATCTTCTTTTCTATTGCATCATTAGTCTGCAAATTTTCTTAACTTTTATGATTTGCTACCTCTTGGACACTTTGCCACCTAGAAATTTCTTCCACCAGATACCCTAAATCATCTGTCTCAAGTTCAAAATTCCACAGATCTCTAGGGCATGGGCAAAATGCCATCAGTCTCTTTGCATAGCAAGAGTGACCTTTACTCCAGTTCCCAACAAATTTCTCATCTCCATGTGAGACCACTTCATCCTAAACTTCATTGTCCACATCACTATTAGCATTTTAGTCAACACCATTCATCAAGTATCTAGGAAGTTCCAAACTTTTCCACATCTTCCTGTCTCTGAGCCCTTCAAGTTTCTAGGCTGTTCCAAACTTTCCCACATTTTCCAGTCTTCTTCTGATGCCTCCAGATGGTTCCAATGTCAGCCTGTTACCCAGTTCCAAAGTTACCTCCACATTTTGGGTTACTTTACAGCAGCACCCCACTCTCTGCAGTGCCAATTTACTGTATTAGTCTGTTCTTACATTGCTATGAAGAAATACCCGAGACTGGGTAATTTATAAAGGAAATAGGTTTAATTGACTCACAGTTCCACACAACTGGGGAGGCCTTAAGAAACTTACAATCATGGCGGAAGGCACCTCTTCACAGGGTGGCAGGGGAGATAATGAGTGCCAAGTGAAAGGGGAAACCCCTTATAAAACCATCAGATCTCATGAGAACTACCTATCATAAGAACAGAATGGGGTAAACCACCCCCATGATTCAATTATCTCCACCTGGTCTCCCATGACTTGTGAAGGTTATGGGAACTATGATTCAAGATGAGATTTTGGTAGGGACACAGACAAACCATATCAAACATCGATGCAAAAATCCTCAACAAAATACTAGAAAACTGAAGCAAGCATCACATCAAAAAGGTTATCCACCACAATTAAGTAGGCTTCATCCCCAGGATGCAAGGTTAGTTCAACCTATACGATTCAATAAATGCAATTCATCATATAAACAGGACTAAAGACAAAAATCACATGATTATTTCAACAGATACAAAAAAGCTTTTGATAAAATTCAAAATCCATTTGCGTTTTTAAAAATACTCTCAATAAACTAGATATTGAAGCAACATACTTCAAAATAATAAGAGCCTTATATGACAAAACCATAGCCAACATCATATTGAATGGGCAAAAGCTGGAAGCATTCCACTTGAAAATTGGCACAGGACAAAGGCCTCCCCAGCTGTGTGGAACTGTGAGTCAATTAAACCTATTTCCTTTATAAATAATCCCATCATCTCAGCCTAAAAGCTTCTTAAGCTGATAAACAACTTCAGGAAAGTCTCAGGATACAAAATAAATGTAATGTGCAAAAATCACCAGCAATCCTATACACCAACAACAGTCAAGGCCTGAGCCAATTCAGGAATAAACTCTCATTCACAAATGCCACAAAAAGAATAAAATGTCTAGGAATACAGCTAACTAGCGAGGTGAAAGATCTCTACAAGGAGAGCTACAAACCACTGCTCAAAGAAATCAGAGATGACATAAACAAATGAGAAAACATTACATGCTCATGGATATGAAGAATCAATATTTTTAAAATGTCCATACTGCCCAAAGCCATTTATAGATACGATGCTATTCCTTTTAAACTACCACTGACATTCTTCTGAGAACTAAAGAAAACTATTTTAAAATTCATATGGAACCAAAAAGGAGCCCGAGTAGCCAAGGATATCCTAAGCAAGAAGAGCAAAGCTGGAAGCATTGTGCTACCTGATGTCAAACTATACTATAGGACTACAGTAACAAAAACATCATGATACTAGCACAAAAACAAAGATCCATAGACAAATGGAACAGAATAGAGAACCCAGAAATAAGAATGCACACCTACAGCTATCCGATCTTTGACAAACCTGACAAAAATGGGGAAAGGATTCCCTATTCAATGAACAGCCCTGGGAGAACTACCTAGCCATATGCAGAAAATTGAAATGGAACCTCTTCCTTACATTATGTATAAAAATTAACTTGAGATGGATTAAAGACTTAAATGTAAAACCCAAAACTATAAAAAATCTGAAAGACAACCCAGGCAATACCATTCAGGGCATAGGCACAGGCAAAGATTTCATGACGAAGACGCCAAAAGCAATTGCAACAAAAGCAAAAATTGACAAATGGGATCTCATTAAACTAAAGAGCTTCTGCACAGCAAAAGAAACTATCATCAAACAGACCACCTACAGAATAGGAGAAATTCTTTGCAAACTATGCATCTGACAAAGGTCTAATATCCAGCATCTATAAGAAACTTAACAAATTCACAAAAAAGGCCTATAAAAAAGAGGGCAAAATATATGAACATGTCCTTTTCAAAAGAAGACATACATGTAGCCAACAATCATATGTAAAAAAAGCCCAACATCACTGAGCATTAGAGAAATGCAAATCAAAGTCACAATGAGATACCATCTCATACCAGTAAGAATGGCTATTATTGAAAAGTCAAAAAATAACAGATGCTGGCAAGGTGGTGGATAAAATGAAATGCTTATGGACTCTTGGTGAGTGTAAATCAGTTCAGCCATTGTGGAATACAGTGTGGTGATTCCTCGAAGACCTAAAGACAGAAATACCACTCGAGTCAGCAATCTCATTGCTGGGTATATACCCAAAGGAATATAAATTGTTCTATTATGAAGACACATGTACATGTATGTTCATTGCAGCACTATTCGCAATAGCAAAAACATGGAATCAACCTAAAAGCCCATTAATGATAGACTGGATAAAGAAAATGTGGTACATATATACCATGGAATGCTATGCAGCCATAAAAAAGAACAAGATCATGTCCTTTGAAGGGACATGGATGAAGCTGGAGGCCATTGTCCTTAGCAAACTAACAGAGGAACAGAAAACCAGGTACCACATGTTCTCACTTATAAATGGGAGCTAAAGGGTGAGAACACATGGATACATAGCACGGAGCAACACATCTTTTAGAGGGTAGAGGGTGGGAGGAGGGAGAGGATCAGGAAAAATAACTACTGGATACTAAGCTTAATATCTAGGTGATGAAATAGTCTTTACAAGAAACCCCCATGATACAAGTTTACTTACATACAAACCTATACTTGTATCCCTAAACTTAAAAGTTAAGAAATAAGAATGCTTATTATGGTCACCCTGTTGTACTCATAGAAATTTAAAATAAAAGAAAAAATTAAAAATTAAAAGAATGCTTACTATGAAAACTCTTAAAGAAGTAAAAAAGTCGATTCTACCTGAAAAGTATCTTGTGAAATGCACTTTGAGTTAGTTCATGATGTCCTGTGTAAATGAGACTTCTTCCTGTTCTCCTGACTAAGGTAAATTTAATAAGAAGATGCATTTATAAATTATTAAGAAAGCAAATGTTATACTTGCAGAAATTCTTAAAAATCTAGCTGTCAAATAATTTATTTTTTCCTATCGTTGGTTCTAATAAACAGTGAAAATATTATTTGCTTCCTCACCATGTTCTTCAACATTTGCGTACATAATACAGGCTTATTAAGGCCATTCCTATGCATGCATTCCTATGCATGAACCGAACTATTTGACATTTATTTAATTAAAAAATTATTCATTTACTGCACATGGAAAGAACTACACTTGCAGACAAGGACATAATTGACCGAGGGTATAAATTTTTATTCTCTGCAATAAAGGTAGGATAATAGCTAAAAGCAGGGAGGAAAGAAGCAAAGTACAGCATTATGCGATGTTTTGAGACTTTATTATGCAGTGTTCAAAAGGAATTTCAGGTTTTCGAATGATAAAGTTTTGTAAAGTATATTTACCTTTGTTCTTTCAAACTTAGAATTGATCATTTGGAGTTAGAACCTTGAGATAAGGTGGACATTTTCTAGGATAATTTTTAAAAAGAACAATAGAATTGCTTCATTTTGCATAAAGGAAGGCCATTTGCTAAGACTTTGCATTCCTGCCTTTTCATATTTTAGAAGCTAAATAGTTTGTTGTGCAATGTATAACTATTTTAGAAAAACATTGAAGCTCAATGTCAGGAAGGAATTACTGAAATGGTTTTCTCCACATATTTTGAGAATTTTGCTTTTTGAGTTATCATTTCTATCATCCTGCTTCTGTTTTTTGTTTGTTTGTTTGTTTTTCATTTTTTCAGTTACATTAAGTGGTTTTCCTAAGGTTTAAATGCCAATCCAACACTAAGATCGTACTTATAACTCTTGACCCCACTGTCCTGTCAGCCCCAAGCTGCTGCTGCCACTTCAAATAAAATGCTCATTTCTATTTCCAGATATTTCCACTCTGTCCATGCCCTTTTCTTTCTTTTCAGTATCTTCCTTTTGTTGAGTGCACTTGTTCTACCCTTTACACTTGAGGATCCAGACTGTCACTTCTACTAACTTTAACTTTTTCCTTCCATATGGCAAACTTCCAAGAATGATTCACCTAAGTGAGTCAATTTACCAATTAAATGCAACAAGAATACTCCTTGGGACAACATAAAATTAAAATGCATTTGCTGGAGCAGTTTAAATCTATAATAATATGCATATATTTAGGAAATAATTGTTCCTCAAGATATTGATTGCTTCCTCTTTAAGAATGGGTTGCTGTGGTTCTTGGCTATTTTATTTTAAGCAAATTTGTTACACTTGGTTACTATGTCTCAGGGTAATCACCTTTTTGATTGATGTGCAAGGAGCTGCAAACTGCTTGATTGAGGACCATCTACCTAAAGTTAGCTTCTTTCGGGGTTTAACTGGACTGTGTGATTGAAGACACTCTGACTCAGGTGGTGGTTGCAATCCTGATTTATCTCTTGCTAAGCAGAATTTTTATGCTACAGAATGTGTCCTGATTATCATTAAAGTTCCCTTTGCTTAGATATACTTAGTTTTTCTGGGAAGGAGAATTGGCAACTTGGAGCCAGTTGGTACCTGACTAGCTATTAGTATTGTGTTCTCCCTCTGGGTGTCAGCTCCCCACGGGATGTATGCCAATCACATTTTAATGATATTTAAAATAGGTGAATTGTCTTGGAGAAAAATGTTTCTGCCTGGGAAACATCTAATGAGGTTCTTGAAATCTCATTATAAATGAACTCACTAAAGAGATAAACATTTTGTAAGTCATTTTGGTTTTTTTCCTAAACCAGGTTAGTAATAGATATTCTTTCATTGCTGAAAGTGAGGTGGGATGAGTTTCAAGGGCTTTCTGTAAATCTCACATTCCTTATTATCCTGGGAGATGAAGTTTGATTAATCTTCATTTATCATTGATTGTTCTTTTATTGAAAAGTTTACAAGGTTCTCTATTCACATAAGAGCAGAATCAATTTGAAGATTTTCCTTTTAATCTAGACTCTTGAATTCAGTTGAAATGCTTTCAAGAAGTATTTAATTTAAAAATTTAAATAAAGAAAAAGTCTCTGCTATGTGACTCTTATACAGTTTTGAGGTATTTAATAATTTTATTTCTTTTTAGTAATTTTGGATATGTTTGATACAAAGATGAACAAGAGCCATATGCTCTAATATGAAATTGACACTGAGGTCTAAGATAAATGCTATTTGAGAAAAAGGAAATAGATAGTTGAAGAGGTATTGTTAGGACCTTATACTCAAATCTCTCAAGAAAGAGTCATTTGTTGGGTCAATTTGCTATGTGTCTCATTATACTATGTGTATTTCTCCATAACTGCAACAGTGATGATATAGCCCTTCTCAGGTCTGTGTTTCTTTTTTGTTTTTTCCCTTGAATGTTAGGATCAATAGTACTTTGGGTTTGATAGTTCCTGCTTATCTCATAAAATTAAAAGAAAATTGGCCCAAACACAAAAATAAGAAAATACAAAATAAAGAAGGTTACTTAGCTTTGCTTTTACTCCTGGGTAGATAGTAAGCACCAGGCCAGAATTTGCCTTTCATTAATGTATCCATTTACTTATTCAGTTTATGGTTTGCATGGTATTACAGCAATACAAATTTGAAATAGGTATGACCTTACCCAAGGTCTGCCATAGAGATAAAGCTTATAACAACTAAAGCAAAAGAAAGTGCTAAATACTCCAAGTGCTCATCTTCAAATAAATAAAGTCCCATAGAGGTTCTAAGGTGAGAGAGAACCTTTCTACTAGGGATGGGGTTGAGAGTCTGGTGAGGATAAGTTATAAGTGTATTAGTCTGTTTTTGCATTGCTATAAAGAAATACCTGAGACTGGGTAATTTATAAAGAAAAGAGGTTTAGTTGGCTCATGATTCCATAGGCTGTACAGGAAGCATGAGGTAGGCATCTGCTTGGCTTCTGGGGAGGCCTCAGGAAACTTTCAATTATGGCAGAAGGCAAAGGAGAAGCATGTACGTCTTACAAGGATGGAGCAGGAGCAAGGGGGACAGGGGAGGTGCCACACACTTTTAAATAACCAGATCTCACAAGAACTCACTATCACATGAACACCAAGGGGGATATACACCCCCACGATCCAATTCACCTCCCACCAGGCCCCACCTCCAATATTGGGGGTTATAATTTGACATGAGATTTGGGTGGGAACACAGATCCAAACTTTATCAGTGTTGAATTGGCTTTTCAAATGGCCCTTAAAAAGTAGGTAGGATATTGAAAAGAAGATCTGAGGTGGGAAAACTAGTAGAGGGAGGAAATAGCAAGACGGAAAGCATTTTGGTGGATTTTGGGGCTCATATGGGCACCCAAGGGGTAGTTAGACTAATGTAAAGTGACAAAAAAGAAGTCCTGGAAAGTAAAGTTTACTTTACTTTACATGGATTAGTCAGAGATTGGGGAAATTTTGGATGTCAGGCTCAAAATTTATTGTATAAGTATAAACACTGGAATTTCTATGTAGAAGTGGTATAGGAGTATTGGCTCTGATAATGTACCTTACAGACCTCCTGTAATGGGGAGCAGTTGTGTCAGGGCTCTGGCTCCTACAATCCCTTGTGGATCATGCATCCCAAAGGTTGCTCCCAGAAATGACTGAGCATGATGGGGATACTAACGTGCACTGTCCCAGGAGACAGATTCTTTCGTTGGCTGACTTTGGCTCAGAAACTCCCTGACAGCTTTACTGAACCTTCCTTAGATATTAAGGAAATGTAGGACTCTTTCATCCAAGTCAAAGTGAGTCTGTCAGCTCTCTTAGGCTTGCCCAGCTCTGTCCGTCCATATTTTTCTTTAAGCAGGCATTTCTGCTAAAAAAAAAAAAAATAAAAAAAAAAAAATCTACATTTGATCTCATTTTGATGCCTATATCTTTGTGGAACAGGACTAAGGTGTTTATGGGTAGCAACTTGATTGGAGGTGTGTGGTTAGGGAACTTGTTTTGAAGCTGTGTTTGCACAAGTTTGCTGCTTTTTTTTTTTTTTTACATTGCATGGATTTTTTAGGCGACTTTGGTGGGAACTGAAGGATATTATGGAGGTCTGTGGTATCCCGTAGGCTATCCTGGATGTTGGTAGTAGAAAGTCATTTAAATGTTTTCCCTTATTAAAAGAATGATCACACATATTACTTCATAGTGCAATCATAAACTACAACCAAAGTCATAAATATTGTGTATGACTAAAGAAAACAGATTAGCGCTAGTGAATTCAATGTAAACTAAAAATATTTAATAATAGTAATTTCTGAACCTAGCTCAGTTCTTCTGAGGTAGAAAGAATTGATGTCTTGCATACTTGATGAACACAGCTTAGAAATGTTTTTCTCCATTTTTTTTTCTCTCAATATCCTTTCAATGCATTTTATCCGGAATTTTGGCATAGCCATAACATATCTTAATTTGCAGTGCTCCTTGTTTGAATAATCTGTGAAAGAACTCTTTTGACAGCTGGAAATGACTTTAACTCAAATTATATTAATAAAGATATATGTTGAAGCATGTACGTTGTTCTCGTGTTACTCCGATTTGTGTTATGCTTTCTTTTGCATTGAAATACATCTATGTTTAGGGCCTTGACATTGGTTGACTTGGATATCATAGTAATGTTACAACTTTAGGCTGTGACTTTTCTGCAGGTGCTATTAGAAGGAGATAATAGGCTGCCAGGCAGAGGAGAGGAAGACTGGATTCCAACAAATGCTGTGGCCTTGGCAAGTCACACACATTGCATGGGTCTATGAAAATAACATCTCCGGGAATAACTGAAATGAATAAATAAAGACTGCTCGGAAAGTTAACAAGAGTAAAGGGATGAGGGAGCAAGCAGGGAGGAGCCTGGGTGTTGACTGAGGGCACTTTAAGGGCACTGCTTTGGCAGCACTAAAGGAGTGGTTAGACATGTGGGAGGGATGAGGTCAGAGGAAGCCACCTTGGGGATGCTTGAGCTCACAATACTAAGCCAAGACTGAACATTTTAAGTAGAAGGGAAGAAGAAAATGACCAGTGCTTTTGATTTGCATGCACAATTGGAGAATAGGAGGTTTTGATATCCTTTGGGAAAAGTGTATGTTTCTTCCTGAGTGACTGAGGGGTTATTGAGCAAACTGAAAAGTGATCATGCCTCTTGTCTTTATATGCAAAGCTATCCTGTTGTTCTTTTGTTGCTTGGTGAATATTACGGTGAATTGATGTTCTGTTTATCCATTAAGACTTCTACTCATCTGCTTTCCCACTAAGAACAAAGATGAATTCCAAAATTGAAAAAAAGTTTAATGGGCACTTTCCACTGACCTTATGGCTCTTTGATTTTGTTGGCATTCTTGACTATTCTGTTTATAGTAAAATATGTTTCACTCTCTAGTAAAATGGATTTTTTTCTAGTAAATGTTCTTGTGCAGAAAAAATGTGGAAAAGCCCTATAATTCATTGTTAGCAGTAGTTTCATACAATTGACCATTATTTAAATTGAGGGTGGTAGAGGTAGAAAAGAACATCCATTTGTGCTGTTTCCAGGAAAATTTTTGCAATGAGTAAAACTGAGTGAATTATGGTATTCTTAAAAAATGTGTAACACATTTTATACAAAGAAGATACTCAAAACCAGATATCATTTATCTTTTAGGTGAATGAAAAAGAGACCAAGTGAAAAAACTAAGTGATTTAATGACCTGAATGTATCCCATAGAGTGGAAAATAAAATACAGGATCCCAAGCTTTGACCTTCTATGTCATCATCATCTTTGAAATATACAGGTAGGTGGTTATATTCATTTTGAGAGTTGACCCAGAAGCTATGAAATAGAAAGTGGCCAAGACAACAGTGCCAGTCTGACCAAGAGATTTAGCATTGCTGCAAATATAATTAGGATGGTTTTGTTTTCTTCTTCATGAATGTGAAAATATGTGACCTGGTGTTTTTTTAAAAAGTTCATCTAGAGCTGTATGTGACATATAAAGATGTACTACACAGAATTAAATTTCCACGGCAAAGACAACTGTGACAAAGCAATAGTGGTAGCTACAGCTTACGAAGTACTCATTCTATGCTTAGCCTAGTGCTAAAGTGCATTCCATAGATTTTCTGATCAACCCTTATACCAAGATTAATTAGAGGTAAGTATTTTCACCATTTTGTGAATATGGAAACTGAGGCATAGGGAGGCTAAGACATTTGCTAAGGTTCATATGTCTAATATGACTAGTCCAGGTTTGTTTGTCTTTCTCCAAAGTTAGTACTCTTAACTAGAGCAGAATATTTGACTGGTAAACTGAGTGGTGGTCAGAATAAACCAGAACTTTCACACATTTTGTTTTTCTAAATGGATATCCAATTGTAGAGTGAGTTGAATCAAAATCACCTGACTCATACAAGTCTTTGACATGTAACTATTATATGGCCTGATCTCTTATGATGTCTTATGTTCATTAATTCTTTGGGAACAAGAATCTGCAAGTAGGTACAGTTTTGTCAAAAACTCGAATTTCAAGAAATTGAGTTTTAAAGTTCTAATTGGCTTTTATTAACAATCCATGAATTGGATAGCATCTAGTTTACAAAATAGAAAGGAGCTTCGATTAGCTGAGCAGAGAGGGTGGGCTTTATAGGCAGAAAAGCTGAAGAAAGCAGAAACAAGGGACAAAATGCAGATTGGTCCTTTTTAAGTTGCTTTCCTTATAGGGAATATTGTTGGCTTAATGGAATTTGGCTATCCTCTCTCTTCTGATTTCTTAAAAAGTTCAGATCTTACAAGTAAACAGTATAGGTTTCAGTATGGTGACATGCAACCTTAGCATGACTGACTCCATTTTGGGTTGATCTATTGGGGCCTGATGCAGGAGTTAGGCCCAAATCAAAGGCCTTCCACAAATTTTGTTTAACAGTTTCCAGGCTAGGGCCAAGAACATTGGATTTAGGCAATAGTAGGAGAAAGAAGGCGAAGAAGCAGAGTCTTCCATTTTAGGGTTCTGGAAATCTACAGATGGCCACTGAAGATACAGAATAGACAAATTCTGTGAGCTACAGTGATGGTCTTGAAATTTATTTGTATACATATTACCTCAGTAAGAGAAAAACAAAAAAACAAATGGTAAGAATGTCAATATAGATGTCTATCTGTATGTGTAGATAGAGCATTACAAATACTATATATATAATTAGATTAATATATTAAGAGATCTTAAAATCAGCTTTTAAACATCAAGTTTCGTAAAATTTTGTATAGTAACGGATTGAAGGTTGTCTTGTGTTTTTAAATATTACTGAAACACATTGTAGTGATTTGTTTTCTTGGTCTGGATGTTTAATTTTTAAAATATTTTTCAAATTGTGGTGACTTCATGCTGCCATTAGCCAATTTTTAAGTGGGGAAATATACTTTTGTGGTGATATTGATGGTTAACAGTAATGGATGTTAATCCATATTTCAGGTAGTCTCCTTAATTTCAATTTTTCTTGGCTGATTAATCTTTGGATCTGATTGTATTAGTATTTTTCAAATTGAATTTCACAACAGCCTATTGCTGGTTACAATATTAATAATAATTATTCAATAAAATAGAAAAAAATGTCAGAGTACATTATTAATAAGTATTGTTCTGAGAAGCTCTCATTTCAATTATATACTGGTATCTCTATATCTGTATATATTTATATGTCAGTATGTGCATATCTGAATACTGAATCATGATATCAAATATGGTGATCAAACACTCTTAAAAGTGTTAAATTAAATCATTATTGTATTTACCCAAAACCTGTAGCTGTTGAAGGGCTTATAGAAGGAGAAGGAGAAGGAGAAATGTAAAGTCTACTATTTTCTTGATTTTCTTTTGTACTTGCATTATTAACACTGTTTCTAATGCTTAATTCCTTTGCACAGAGCTCTTTAAACCAATTTTGTTCACTTAGTTAAAACTAAATAATACAATCTGTGAATTCACTTAACAAAGCATATATCAGCTGCAATAGAACAAAAGTATTGCGGGTGCCCTGATAGACCCCTTGATAACTCTTTTACCTTGGGAAATTTCCAGTACCATACCTGATTCAGAATCTTCAAACATCCTCACTGAGAGAGGGTGCCAGTGGCAAACTTTATGTGAACTAATTAGCAAAGCTTTATTTATTTCAATTTTTTAGACAAAAAATACATTTAAATAAAAGTACTGATATTTTCTTTTTTTTTCCACTTATTTATTTTATTGCATTTTAGGTTTTGGGGTACATGTGAAGAACATGCAAGATTGTTGCATAGGTACACACGTGGCAGTGTGATTTGCTGCCTTCCTCCCCATCACCTACATCTGGCACCTCTCCCCTTGCTGTCTCTCCCCAACTCCCCACCCCCACTGTTCCTCCTCTATTTCCCCCCAACTGACCCCAGTGTGTAGTGCTCCCCTCCCTGTGTCCATGTGTTCTCATTGTTCAACACCCGCCTATGAGTGAGAACATGTGGTGTTTGATCTTCTGCTCTTCTGTCAGTTTGCTGAGAATGATGGTTTCCAGGTTCATCCATGTCCCTACAAAGGACACAAACTCATCGTTTTTGATGGCTGCATAATATTCCATGGTATATATGTGCCACATTTTCCCTATCCAGTCTATCATCGATGGGCATTTGGGTTGGTTCCAGGTCTTTGCTATTGTAAACTGTGCTGCAATGAACATTTGTTTGCACGTGTCCTTATAGTAGAATGATTTATAATCCTTTGGATATATACCCAGTAATGGGATTGCTGAGTCAAATGGAATTTCTATTTCTAGGTCCTTGAGGAATCGCCACACTGTCTTGCACAATGGTTGAACTAATTTACACTCCCACCAACAGTGTAGAAGTGTTCCTATTTCTCCACATCCTCTCCAGCATCTGTTGTCTCCAGATTTTTTAATGATCGCCATTTTAGCTGGCGTGAGATGGTATCTCAATGTTGCTTTGATTTGCATTTCTTTGATGACCAGTGATGATGAGCATTTTTTCATATGTTTGTTGGACTTATGTATGTCTTCTTTTGTAAAGTATCTGTTCATATCCTTTGCCCACTTTTGAAGGGGCTTGTTTTTTTCTTGTAAATCTGTTTTAGTTCTTTGTAAATTCTGGATATCAGCCCTTTGTCAGATGGGTAAACTGCAAAAATTTTTTCCCATTCTGTTGGTTGCCGATTCACTCTAATGACTGTTTCTTTTGCTGTGCAGAAGCTCTGGAGTTTGATTAGGTCCCATTTGTCTATTCTGGCTATTGTTGTCAATGCTTTTGTTGTTTTGGTCATGAAGTACTTGCCTACGCCTATGTCCTGAATGGTTTTGCCTAGATTTTCTTCTAGGGTTTTAATGGTGTTAGGTCTTATGTTTAAGTCTTTAATCCATCTGGAGTTAATTTTAGTGTAAGGTGTCAGGAAGGGGTCCAGTTTCTGCTTTCTGCACATGGCTAGCCAATTTTCCCAACACCATTTATTAAACAGGGAATCCTTTCCCCATTGCTTGTTTTTGTCTGGTTTGTCAAAGATCGGATGGTTGTAGACATGTTGTGTTGCCTCCGAGGCCTCTGTTCTGTTCCATTGGTCTATATCTCTGTTTTGGTACCAGTACCATGCTGTTTTGATTACTGTAGCCTTGTAGTATAGTTTGAAGTCTGGTAGTGTGATGCCTCCCGCTTTGTTCTTTTTGCTTAGAATTGACTTGGCTATGCAGGCTCTCTTTTGGTTCCATATGAAGTTTAAGGTGGCTTTTTCCAGTTCTGTGAAGAAGGTCATTGGTAGTTTGATGGGGTTAGCGTTGAATCTGTAAATTACTTTGGGCAGTATGGCCGTTTTCATGATATTGATTCTTCCTAACCATGAACATGGAATGTCCCTCCATCTGTTTGTGTCCTCTCTGATTTTGTTGAGCAGTGGCTTGTAGTTCTCCTTGAAGAGGTCCTTTACGTTCCCTGTTAGTTGTATTCCTAGGTATTTTATTCTCTTTGTGGCAATTGTGAATGGAAGTTCGTTCTTGATTTGGCTCTCTTTAAGTCTGTTATTGGTGTATAGGAATGCATGTGATTTTTGCACATTGATTTTGTATCCTGAGACTTTGCTGAAGTTGCTTATCAGTTTCAGGAGCTTCTGGGCTGAGACAATGGGGTCTTCTAGATATACAATCATGTCGTCTGCAAATAGAGACAATTTGACTTCCTCCTTTCCTATTTGAATACCCTTTATTTCTTTTTCTTGCCTGATTGCTCTGGCTAGAACTTCTACTACTATATTGAATAGCAGTGGTGAGAGCAGGCATCCTTGTCTGGTGCCACATTTCAAGGGGAATGCTTCCAGTTTTTGCCATTCAGTATGATAATGGCTGTTGGTTTGTCATAAATAGCTTTTATTATTTTGAGAAACGTTCCATCAATACCTAGCTTATTGAGGGTTTTTAGCATAAAGGGCTGTTGAATTTTGTCAAAGGCCTTCTCTGCATCAATTGAGATAATCATGTGGTTTTTGTCTTTGGTTCTGTTTATGTGGTGAATTATGTTTATAGACTTGCGTATGTTGAACTAGCCTTGCATCCCCGGGATGAAGCCTACTTGATCATGGTGGGTAAGCATTTTGATGTGCTGTTGCAATTGGCTTGTCAAAAAGTACTGATATTTTCAACCCACACCCCAATGGGTCATTTTCGGTCATGCTCTGTTGAGTGTGTCCCCTGTTTGTAGGAGACATTGACTCATAAGCATGCTGACCAGGGGTTGCAGCTACCCATGTCTTCTGTTGTGACCTCA